CTAATATTCACAAACAAATGATAGATGAATAAGTGATAGGAAGATTCTGTTTCAATATTTAACTTCGTTCGAATAAAGATGTCCAAACAGATTAACTTTTGGAAACAAATGATAGATGAATAAAGTACAATAAGATTGTATTCTAGTATTTTACTTGGTTCAAAGAGCATTTTCTGCAATACTTTAACATTCACAGACAAATCATAGATGAATAAGTCACAGTAAGATTATGTTCTTGTATCTTAATTGGTTCGAAGAACAATTTTTGAAACAATTTATCATTTACAAAAAGGTGATAGGTGAATAAATCACAGGAAGATTTCATTCTACTATTCTATTTCGTTTAAAGAATAATTTCTAGAGCAGCTTAACATTCACAAACAAACGAAAGATGAATAAATTATAGTAAGATTGTGTTCAAATATTTTTTTAGCATTTAATTGAGATTTCTAACTCACATTAGCACATCTTAAAATAAATCATAGATGAACACGTTTAACAAACATCATATTTATATACTTTATTCAACCAAATGTAGGATTTACATTATGCTTAAAGATTGATAAGTCAATGGACAATGAATAAGTTTTAGTTAGATATTATGTTCAAGTATTTTCGTTTGTCTGAAATCAAGTTTTTATAAAATTAGATAGTCGAGAGATAGCGATTATGAATGTCTCATACCAAGCTATGATACAACTATGTTGTTGAAATCGAACTAATATTCTTAGAAGAAAGTATTTGATCAAAGCATGGGCGATAATGAATATTGCGTAGAAAACGTATATACTGGTATATTGAAGAACATATAAATTATTAGTTGTACCAGAGTATATGCATTATCCTCACGTGTAATATAAATTGAGCGAACAAGAGATTCATTCAAATATGTTGACGGTTTTAACAGAACATTTGCCATTGTATGTGTAATCAAAGATAGTTCAATATATGAATTGTAGAACACTAGTGTTATAGGAATATTATAATTACAGCAACAAAAATTAATTTAATAAGTATCGTAAGGTATAGTCGCACAGAAAATGAATATTGCAGTCATCAGCAGATCCAGATACGGATAACTCTTCGAGAAAATAGTTTCTTTTTAAACAATAATTAAGTATCTTATGAAAAATGAATATTTTATACTGTCATACTTTGTTCAAATATCTTTTTCGTTTCTCAAAATGTGATTAAAGTTGCAATATGATTCTATAGTATAAATTAAATAAATAGTTTTAGTCAGGATAATATTAGTCAAAAATCTTATTCACTGAAGAACGAGACAGGAATTGTTTTATGTACAGGAAATTCGTAGAAAATGTACAGCGGAAACGATCATTCTATTCAGATATTTTATTTCTTTAGAAAGCAAAGTTTCGATCACTCAAATGATTGAACGTCGGATAATAATAGAATTTTTCTAACAAATATTCTGTTTGAATATAATGGAAGAATTTCAAAACACACAGATACTGTAATAATAGGAATAAAAATTTTACACTACATGAATGATTCTAAGGATAACTCTATTCAATTGTTATATGATTTTTCAAGAAGATTTGAGAGTTTATACATGATTGATAAATATATTCCAAATGAATATTCAACAGCAGTATTCTATTCAGATATATGCCATGCTAGAACAAACAATTTGAGATTCGTTTTGACTGGTAGATACACTAAAAATGAATATTTCTAATAATGATTCTAGTCAAATATATTCCCCTCTATAGTTAAAATTCGAGATTTATCACACTTACTGAATACACTGTAAATGAATAATTTTTAGCATAATTCTGTTCAAATATTTGCACGGTTAACAACAAACCGGACAATGGTGATGAGACTAGAGTCTGTATTGATAATGAATAATTCTAATCAATGTTCTGTTCAGATACTAGTTCATTACAGAAAACAATAGAAAAGATCATTCAGCATTCAATAAATATGTAGTTAATGTACACTTATGATCAACACATTATTCAGTATTCATTTACTATTACGAAAAACTTCAAATTTCTAACACATAATCCATAAATATGGGACTAGTGAATAACTCAAACAAATTTTTTCCTCGAATATATTTTTATTTACAATAAAAGCAATCAGAGTGTATATACTGATAAAGAAATTCGTAACAAATGAATGATTCTTAGTATCATTCTATTCAAATATTTTAGTGAATCTCATGTATTTGGTGAAAGCATACTAAATAACACAGATCATAGTTAAAATGAATGAAGGATACGCTTCGCATAGTGTTGGAGAAATCTTCTCATAAACAGCTCAGCAGTTTTGTCAGATGCATCTTCATCAACGTTTTTGAAGGAGCGGGCGTTGCAAATTGTTGAACATATAACTATTAAAACCAAGATACATACTACAGTCTTGCTGTCAACCATTGTACTTGTTTGTATTGAATGAAAGAGTAACTATTGTATGGTAGTATTAATTTTGCAAAGATAAACTCAGTCTTATATAGTCACTATGAAGGCAGGGGAGGAAGAGAGAAAGAGAGAGTAATGAAAATATATCGTTTCTTCTATTTCAAGGCAAAGCAAGGCGTTTTCATTAGTTAAAAAATAGATACAAAAAAAAATGACTAATCTTGAAGGTTATTAAAATATAATAGCCTTGCGTTCCCTTCATAAAAACAAAGAATATCCTTGTTGTTTATATTAACATTATTCTATACACAAAAGAAGCATATTATAAAAATATTGCTTTATATCGATATATTTTTTTATTACTTTTTCCTTGATACCTATGCCTGCGTGTTGTGCAAAACAAGTATTACTAATCTATTGTTCGATTGCTTAAATTTATCGATCACATGTCTACTATTTGAAATACTAGCTTTCGTATAGATACGATTATGATCATCAAAATATATGACAACTATACATAAATCAAAGGTAAAGAAAAGAAAAGAAAAGATACGATCAATATAAAAGTAACTCATGCGTGACAAAAACGAAGGATATTTACAAAAAATATCAAACTAGTGAATGACGATAAAATGTTCAATCAATAATAGAGGTGTTACTTTATCTTGACTTTATAAATAAAGGTAAAGATTTACTTTATTTACAAAAATAAAGTTAGAATAAAGAATAAGAATACATTTTTTTACGTTAACTAGTGTTCTTATCATTATCATCATTTCTATATACTGTATCATCAAAAAAAAGATCACACAACAAACGATATATATAAAAAATATTATTTTATATTATATTTACCTAGAGTATCATGATTTTTTGTGAACTACTTAAAAAAAAATAAAAGATTGCGTTTTGATAGAAAGTAATTTCTTTACTCTGTATTTTATCTTTATTTTTTAGATGTGTTATACATAGGAAAGAATTTACACCTAGAAAAAAAATTTGTTTAAAATCTTCATTATCTTGTAACATCATTAATATAATTCATTCAAAGAAGAGCAGTATTTATAATATCTATAGAAGAAAAAACAATAGACCATTTAAAGTGAACAATTGATGTAGACATATCTGTTATTTCAAGAGTTATACGAAGTATAGATTTAAGAGTGACAATATTTACAAAATACATTATTTTATTGAACACCTTTTTGTAAAATGATATTTAATAAATATTATCGTTTAGATCTGGTAGTTCTCTAGAAAATAAAGAACCATGTTTATCAAATAAATATAGTCGTTCTCAAAGTGCATTAAGTTCACAATCTCAACATGACAAAGAGCCAGTTACAAGAAAAATTAAAAAGCTATTACTACCTTCGAAAAAACAACAACAAAAAACAAATTCAATTCAAACTAAAAATTCTTTATAGAAATCTAATAAACGTGATAATACAGATTATTATGATAATTCAAATGATCAATAGATAATTATCAACGATATCGTCAATAATTACATTCAGATGATCTTTCAACACAAAAACTAAATCGTTATAATAAACAACCATCAACAATGAAAACATATAATAATGATCGACAACAAACAAGTAAATTTCAATGTTTATTTTGAATCTTGATTCTTTTTTTTTGTTTTTTAGTTCAATTAGATTCGCGTTTTAAACAAAATTCATCGACGTTAAATAAAACTAACGATAATCTATCAATTCAATACCACAAGAATCAATGATGTATAAATCTTAACAACAAATAAATGATCGTCGTCAATCAGAATCATATCAACAAAGAATAAATATCAATGATCATAAACAACAATATCAAACAATAAATACAACATCTATACCATCATTAATGGTGTGCGATCTGATATAAATACAAATGCGAAATTATATGAAACTGCTAATCATACAAATTTATTGCATTATTATGATAAAAATATGTATTATGATTCGAATTTACAAATCCATCAACAACAATATACAACTTATAATACAAATAATACATCTGGTATATCATTAGCACCTACAGCAAATAATGGAGCACGATAGACAAAGAATTCTACAAATCGTACAAATACAAATAATAATAAAAACGTATCAATCATTTGAACAAACAAAATCATCAGTTATTGATGAGATTAATTCTCCACTAGAGAAACCGAAGACAACTAATGAAGACGTGTCAATAAAAAAATCAAATGATACAATTGTATTAACTCCAACAACGGACGTATTGGCAAAAAAATTGGAAAATTAAATAATTCCGGTAATGACATATCAAATGAAAAAGTTGCAATAGAAAATGATAATGAAATTAATGTTGTACAAATAGAAAATGAATCAACAAAAATAAATAAAAAAACAACAACAACACCGTCATCGAATTCTAAATGACATGCAAATAAAGATCAACAAAATTATCATCAAGATCAACGATATCAAAATCAACAATCTCCACAGCATAGAAATAATTATGCCAGAGCAATGCAAGGTAATCTTTTATATTATTCTTCATGTTTTAGAATTGATCACTCTTAATTTATAAATTAGCAATAATTCAAGAAGAAAATCGAATATAAATATTTATTTAGAATATGATACAATGCAAATGTCTGGTACTCATAATTATTATGGTTCAGTACGTCGAGTGGCACATGGTGGTCGTTATTCACATACACATGATCTATCCAGTAATTATTATTATGAACATCGTCAGAAGTAAGTTTTCATTTTCGCATTTCTTTTTATATTATTCCCATTTATATATACAGACATTATAATAATCGTTATAATTATTCGAATGAACATTATCAACAACAACGTCCAACAAATAAAAAACATCCTAAACGTGGTGATGCATCAGTTATACAAAATCAACAACAAAGATAACCAATATTCAATGGAAGTGGTACTAATAATAATAACTGTTATTTTTGTCATCATTCAACAAGTGATAATGATCAAAAAGAAAGTGAAGAAGGAGAAACAGCATCTGCATCAAGTACAAATATACGTAATGGTCATTATGATAATAATGGAATAAATAATCAACAAACAAATGAAATAAAATCAGTTAATTGTGGTCGGATACTACATAAGAAAAGTTTTTGCAGTCAAAGGTATATTTAAATCTTCAGAATTACAAAAAAAATTATATTATTCATTTTTAGACCAAATGCGCGTCACATTTTCAACTATACGAATGCATGAGAGGCAATGGATGAATCTTTCTTGTTTCTGTTTTTTTTGTATTTGATCTTTCTTTTTTATCTTTTTCACTTTATCTGCCAACACCCATACATATTATAATTAATATGTAAACTATATTCTTGTTCTTTCAAACTAAATAGAAAAGTAGACTAAATACATATATACATTAATATATTTATTCATTTTTGTTTCTCTGTTCGAAAATGAATTTCGAAAAAAAAGGTTTTTAAAGAAAATTTTGAAAAAGAAAAAATATGTTCTCTTTTTTTTTAACATAATATACTGTTCATATTACTGTTTTTTCTCGAGTGATGATGAATATCAATATTGTGTGTGATGTTATTGTTGTTGTTTGTCAGTTTGCTTCTTTCTTATTTTTTCTCTTTTTTTTGTTTGTGAATCGAACAAAATATATTCCATCATCTGTACGTTTCATTTTTTTGTCGTTGATGTGACATAATTGATCAAAATTGTAAAAAACTCTCTCTTTTCTTGCTATTTATTATTTGTAAATAGAACGCAACAAAAAAAATAACATAAAAATAATGTGCAAAACATTTTTATGAGTGATTTTTTGTTTTTTTTGTTTCTTTATGTCTATTTTCCTCCGTTTATATTTCATCCTAATGCGTTTATTGCCTGCCCAATATATTGCAGATTCTTTTTATTTGTTTTTGTCTTCTCACGAAAAATAAAATACAATCAAAACATTGTGTTTATTTCATATTGATTATTAAATTGTTGGTATGAAAAAGTCATTCTTTGATCTTTTTTTTGCACAAAAAATTACAACTGCTTGATATGATCTATGAAATAAAATCGAAAAAGAACTATACAGTTAATTTATAATCTTTGTATATTTTCAATAAATGTAAGATGGCGGAAATTCAAAAATGTACCAAATTGTTTTTTTCCATTTGTTTATACATGGTTCGATAGAGCTCATCGAGCTGAGTAAGAATATGTTAGTGTTAATATTTTTTTGAAAGTTTTTGCTGAAAAATTTCGATTTTTTTCAAAGTGCTGAATGATTCATTTTCTTGAAAACAAAATTAAATACAAATCATCTTTTAATGTTTTTCTCAGTTTTAAATGGTGTTTTCATTCCTTGGGATATGTGAAAATGAATCATTGAGCACTCTAGAAAAAAATCGAAAACTTTCGTCAAATACCTTTCGAAAAAATATAAAAATTGGTATATTCTTGCTCAGCTCGGCGAGCTCTATCGAACCATGTATAAAAAAAAATGAAAAATTTTGCTTTTCCGGCACCTTATATCAGATAAGAATTTTATTGAAAATGTCATTTATTAATATCTGAGTAATCGAATAAAGAGAATCTCCTATTGACTTTCACATCTTATTACGTTGACTTGTATATTTTCTTTTAATCAAATAAATGAGAAAAGAAAACTACAACTGATCAAATCAAAACATATAATTTTTATTAAATTCCACAAGAGAAGATTTTATAAAAATTCTTGCAGTTTATTAATATATTTTTTATTTGATAAGATCGGTTGAACATTTGGATCAAGAAATGGATTACCAAGAATAAATTGAGATGATATATTCGGACTAGATAATAATGATCCTTGTGATTGAGCTGAATTATCAGAATAAGAAAGAGTATGAATATTTTCTATAACTTGTTCAGAAGTTTTTTGATTATTTTGTTTTCTTGTTTGACAATATTTCGAACATAAAATCAGTAATAAAATACATATTCCAATAACTACACATATAATTACAATTGGTATCCATATAGAACTTTTTTTAACATTTAAATAAATTATACTTGTATCTTCATAAGTTATATTAAATAATTTATTTGTAGCATAACATCGATAATAACCATGATGATCAGAATACGAAACATGATCAATAATTAATGTATCATTAAGAGTAAATTTATGATCTATACGAATACCAATAGGTAAAGAACGAAATAACTCATTTGATAAATCATAATTAAAATCCCAATAAATAACTAGAACACAAAAAAAAATAATAATCTTTCTATTATTTATTTTTCTTCTGTATACATACAAACATTTGTTCCATATGTTAGACAATGAATTGTTACTTTTTGATTTGTATAAGTACTTATAGAAAGAAATTCATTTTGACGTATTTCAACTACAGAAAATACATCAAGTTCACTAAATTTTTGTACACCATAATGATATTTTGAACGACATTCAATTTTTGAATATAATTCCGAATAATTAAATGGTGTAGGAATTATTAAAGTAATACTTCCATTTTTTATTATATTATCTTTTGTATATTGTAATGATGATATATTTTTATCTAACATTCTAGCAATGATTGTCAATGAAAGAATGATACCTTGATCATTACTAAAACATTCGATATGTGATAATTTTGATGTATTAAATGGATATGGTGATGCAATTAGAATAGGATCATTTCTAACAAAGAAATCAATTGTGAATAAAATAATTACAAGTACAAAAAACATACGGATAGATTCCTTTAGGATAATTCATTTGATGTTTTTTTTGATCGCGCCTTAGGTGACTAATTAACTATTCATTAATTTCCTTCAAATAAATAGAATAAACATACGCTTAGAATATTGATTTTTAGAAAAATAACTATTGTAATTTTAAATGAGAACTTTTTCTATAAATATTAGAATATTTAGAGCATTTTTTTAATTTCTTATTCATTACAATTCTAACAAAAGATAAAAAGTTACTCATTCTATTTTAATAAATGATTTAAAAGAAAACCTTTTTTTCTTGCTTCTCTTATTACTTTTCATAATCATAGACAATATACTTAATAAAAAGAATTAATTATGAACCTTTTCTTTTTTTTCTCTTATTCATCTCCATCTGTCATAGAATATAATTTGTTCATCATAATAATCCAACTCTCAAATGGAAATAAAAAGATACAGCTATTAGTGATGCAAATTAATCAAGACAGTTCTCATCTATTTTCTAATGCCGCCTTTTTTTTTCTTCTTCTTCTTCTCTTTTCCCTTATGATTAAATAATAA